TACCTCCCATGTTCTGATTCTTCTTCATCTATTTGTCAGGAGTACATTTAATTTCCACATACTTCTGAATTTTCCAGTTTTCCTTCTGTTAACTGATTTTTAGTACATATTATTGTGGCTGGAAGAAATGCTTTGTTATGATTCCAATCTTCTTAAACTTGTTGAGACTTGCAGTATGGCTTAATATATATGGTCTAAAGACAGACAATGTTCTTTGTGCACTTGAGAGGAATGTCTGCTGTGCTATATAGTTGGGTGGAGTACTCTACAAACGCATGCTAGGTCTAGTTAGGTTTACAGTGTTCAAATCCTTCATTAATCTTTGTTGTCTAGTTGTTCTATCCATTATAGAAAGTAGGTTACCAAATTCTCAACTACATCTACATCTCCCTTTAATTCTGTCAGGTTTTGCTTCATACTACGGGCTACTGTTGGGTTATATGCGTTCATAATGGCTGTAACTACTGGATGAATTGAGCATTTATCTTCACAAAATGTCCTTTGTCTCTTGTGCTCTTTCTGTTTCCCATACTCGATAATCTCAACTGATTCATCTTCAAGTCCACTGGTTCTTCTGCCTGCTCAAATCTGCTAGTGGACCACTCTAAAGAATTTTTTATTCCACTTGTACTTTTCAACTCAAAGATTTTTTAAAAATATTTTATTTATTTATTTGAAAAGCAGAAATACAGAGTGAAGGAGAGAGGGAAAAGGAGAGGGAAAGGGACAGAGAGAGAGAGATTGATCTTCCATCTGCTGATTCAATCTCCAAATGACTGCAACAGTGAGGGCTGGGTCAGGCCAAAGCCAGGAGCTTCTTTCAGGTCTCCCATGTGGGTGCAGGGGCCCAAGTACTTGGGCCATCCTCCACTGCTTTCCCAGGTGAATTACCAGGAATCCAGATAGAAAGTGGAGCAGCTGGAACTTGAACCAGCACCCATATGGGATGCTGGCACTGCAGGCAGAGGTGTAATCTTCCACGCCACAGCGCCAGCCCCTCCAGGATTTCTGTGTGGCTCCTCTTTGTAATCTCTACTTCTTTACTGATATCCTCTGTTTGGTGAAAACTTGTTATGTTGGTTTCTCCTTTAGTTTTTGTTTTGTTTTGTTTTTGTCCATGGTTTCCTTAGCCCTTTAAGTATACTTAAAATAGTTTCTTTAAAGTGTTTAGTTGGGGGGCCGGCACTGTGGTGCAGCAGGTTAAAGCCCTAGCCTGAAGCGATGGCATCCCATATGGGCGCCAGTTCGAGTCCCAGCTGCTCCTCTTCTGATCCAGCTCTCTGCTGTGGCCTGGGACAGCAGTAGAAGATGGCCCAAATCCTTGGGCCCCTGCACCCACGTGAGAGACCCAGAAGAAGCTCCTGGCTCCTGGCTTCGGATCAGCACAGCTCTGGCTGTTACAGCCATTTGGGGAGTGAACCAGAGGATGGAAGACCTCTCTCTCTGTCTCTACCTCTCTCTGTAACTCTTTCAAATAAATAAAGTAAATCTTTAAAAATAAATAAATAAATAAATAAATAAAGTGTTTAGTTGGGGTTGCTGGCATTGTGCATTAGCAGGTTAAGCTTCTGCCTGCAACACTGGCATCCTATATGGCCACCAGTTTGAGACCAGGCTGCTCCATTTACAATCCAGCTTCTTGCTAACATGCCTGGGAAGGCAATGGAAAATGGCCTAAGAGCTTGGGCCTCTGCACCCACGTGGGAGACCCGGAAGAAGCTCCAGGCAACTGGCTTCTACATGCCCAAGCCTCAGCCCCAGCCATTGTGGTCATTTGGGAAGTGAATGAATGGATGGAAGATCTCTTTTTCTTTGTCTTCTCCTTTCTCTGTCATTCTGCCCTTCAAATACATAAAAAAAAATATTTTAAATAATAAATAAATAGCTTAGTTGGGGCCAGAACTGTGGCACAGTGGGTTAACTTGCCACCTGCAGGACTGGCATCCCAAATGGGTGCCAATTAGAGTCCCAGCTGCTCCATTTCCAATCTAGTTCCCTGCATCTGGGAAAGAAATGGAGGATGGCCCAAGTACCTGGGAATCTGCCATTCATGTGGGAGACTCCGAAGAAGCTCCTGACTTCTGGCTTTAGTCTGGCCCAGCTCTAACAGTTGCAGTCATTTGGGGAGTGAATCAGCAAATGAAGAGATCGCTCTATATCTCACTTTCAAATAAACAAAATTAAAAAAAAAAAATTAAAGTTCAGGGGCTGGCAGCAGAACAAGGCCCAAGTGTTTAAGCCCCACCACTCCCGTGGGAGATCCAGGTGACGATCCTGATTCCTGGTTTCTGCCTGGCCCAGCACTGGCTGTTGCGGCCATTTGGGGAGTGAAACAGCAGATGGAAGATCTACCTCTCCCTCTCTCTAACTTTGTCTTCTTTAAAAATAAAGAAAAACAGGGGCTGGCGCTGTGGTGCAGTGGATTAATATCCTGGCCTGAAGCACTGGCATCCCATATGGGCGCCGGTTTGAGTTCCGGCTGCTCCACTTCCAATCCAGCTCTCTGCTGTGGCCTGGGAAAGCAGTGGAAGATGGCCCAAATCCTTGGGGCCCTGCACCCATGTGGGTGACCCAGAAGAAGCTCTTGGCTCCTGGCTCCTGATCGGCGCAGCTCCGGCTACTGCAGCCAACTGGGGAGTGAACCATCAGATGGAAGACCTCTCTCCCTCCCTCTCCCTCTCCCATCTCTGTGTAACTCTTTCAAATAAATAAATCTTTAAAAATAAAGAAAAACCAATGCCTATCTTAAAATGGGCTGGCACTGTGGTATAGCAGGTAAAGCTGCCATCTATGACACCAGCATCCCATGTGGGCACTGGTTCATATGCTTGCTGCCGGTACAATCCTGCTCCCTGCTAATGGGCTGGGAAAAGTAGCAGCAGATGGAAAATGGCCTGTGCTTGGCCCCCAGCCACCCACACGGAAGACCCAGATGTAGCTCCTGGCTCCCGGCTTTGGTCATTGCAGCTATACAGGAGTGAACCACAGATGGAAGATCTATCTCCCTCTCCCTATCAAAGTAAATATTTTTTAATACTTAGAACTGATGTCCAAATTTCCAGCCTCATTTCCTCTAAAGACTTTATTTCCTTGGGTTTTCTTTGCAGCTGTCTTTTACATTTTTTCCTGACCAACCAAATAATAAGGGGAAAAAAAAAACTGGGAGCCGGCGCTGTGGCATAGCAGATAAAGTCACTGTCTGCAGTGCTGGCATTTCATACAGGCACCGGTTCGAGTCCCGACTGCTCCACTTCCGATCCAGCTCTCTGCTGTGGACTGGGAAAGCAGTAGCAGATGGCCCAAGTCCTTGGGCCTCTGCACTCACATGGGAGACCCAAAAGAAGCTCCTGGCTTCAGATCAGCTCAGCTCAGCCATTGCAGCCATATGGGGAGTATATCAGTGCATGGAAGGCTCCTCTCCTTCTCTCTCTCTCTGCCTCTCTGTAACTCTGTCAATTAAAATAAATAAATCTTAAAAAAAATGGTTTTCTTCCAGGACACAAGCAACATATTCAGAGTAATAAAATATATGGCAGTTACGGCTATCTGAGGAGCAGACCACTAAATGGAAGACCTCTCTCTCTCTCTCTCTCTCTCTCTCTCTCTCTGCAGCTGCCTCTCTGTAACTCTCCCTTTCAAATAAATAAATTTTTTTTTTTTTGACAGGCAGAGTTAGAGAGAGAGAGAGAGAGAAAGGTCTTCCTTCCATTGGTTCACCCCCTAAATGGCCGCTACGGCCAGCACTGCGCCAATCCAAAGCCAGGAGCCAAGTGCTTCTTCCTGGTCTCCCATGTGGGTGCTGGGCACAAGCACTTGGGCCATCCTCCACTGCCTTCCTGGGCCACAGCAGAGAGCTGGACTGGAAGAGGAGCAACCGGGACAGAATCTGGCACCCTGACCAGGACTAGAACCCGGAGTACCCACACCGCAGGTGGAGGATTAGCCAAGTGAGCCACAGCACTGGCCAAAATTTAAAAAAAATAATAATTCTGAGCAGAAATGCCGCTAGTATACCATTGGACAGAAAACAAACAAAACATTTCCTATAAATTACAGGAAAAGTCTATTCAATTTCCACACCACAGTTTTTTGTACTACAAGGAAAAATTACTTTGTTGTGGACCTGTTCACCAACTTCTGTGCCACAGATGTTTGTTTTGTTTTGTTTTTTATTTTTTGACAGGCAGAGTGGGCAGTGAGAGAAAGAGACAGAGAGAAAGGTCTTCCTTTGCCGTTAGTTCACCCTCCAATGGCTGCCGCGGCTGGCGTGCTGCGGCCGGTGCAGTGTGCTGATCTGATGGCGGGAGCCAGGTACTTATCCTGGTCTCCCATGGGGTGCAGGGCCCAAGCACTTGGGCCATCCTCCACTGCACTCCCAGGCCACAGCAGAGAGCTGGCCTGGAAGAGGGGCAACTGGGACAGAATCCGGCACCCCGACCGGGACTAGAACCCTGTGTGCCGGCGCCGCAAGGCGGAGGATTAGCCGAGTGAGCCGCGGCGCCGGCCCACAGATGTATTAATGTGAAGTGCTTCTACAACAGTTCACAAGGAGACTGGCATCTAATGGCACATCACGGTGGGTTCATTGAATATAATGAAGATTATGCATTAAATGCCTTTCTATGGTATGACTGTGTTCCCCCAAAATTCAAGTGTTGAAATCCTAATCACCAAGATGATATAGTATTTGGAGGTAGGGTCTCTGGATAGAGGATTAGGTCATTGGTTAGGGCCCTCATGGATGGGATTCGTGGTCTTATAAAATAGGCACAAGCAAGCTTGCTTGCCCCTTGTACCATGTGAGGACACAACAAGAAAGTATCATCTAGGAGCCAGGAAACAGACCCTCACGAGATATCAAACCTGCCTTGATCGAACTAAGACACAAATATAGAAGCAAACATAGCAAATGCAGAAGCAAAAGATCACTAATTTAAAGAAAACAATATAGATTTCTTAATAATTATGGCTGTAAGTTACACGCACCAGTAGACTCATACCTCGTTTTCTGACATCATTCCTGGAGTAAGCTGGGGACCTGTCCCTAAGGAAATGACCAACACCTCTTCTGGTTGTACCTCCGGGATAGTTTCCTGAGATGATCCTTCATGGTCCATATGTAGGTCCATTAGCATATTAGTACGGCTTCTGCTCCGAGTAGCTAATAAAAAATTGCAAATAAAATAATTTACAGAAAGAAAATGATAAAAATAGTACTCTAAATACAGAAATGTATTTTCCATTAGTGTAGATTTATGCAAGCATGAAAAAAATCAGTGGTGAAAATATGAGTAAGAAAAAAACCGAACCAGAAACTCAATCTCTTTCAAAACTGATAACAGAGCCGGTACTGTGGTGTAGTGAGTAAAGCTGCTGCCTATGTTGCTAGTGCCCCATATGGGTGCCAGCTCAAGTCATCGCTATGCCGCTTCCAATCCAGCTCCCTGCTAATGTATGTGGGCAAGCAGCGGAAGATGGCCATCCACTAGTTCCCTACCCAAATGCAGCAGCAGCATATTCTCGGCCAGGCCGAGGCTAAGAACCATCAACTCCATCCAGGTTTTCCACATAGGTGGCAGGAACCCAAGCACTTGGGCCATCCATCACCTGCTGCCTTCCTGGGCTCATTAGCAGGAAGCTATATTGGAAGTTGAGTTTCCAGGACTCAAATCAGTACTCTGATATGAGATGTGGGCATTGGAAGCTGCAGTGTAACCTACAGGGCCATAATGCCTGCTCCCAGAGTAAGTTTTTAAAAGCACATTTTCCAGGTGCCAGCGCTGTAACGTAGCGGGTAAAGCCACTGCCTGCAGTGCTGGCATCCCATTTGGGCATTGGTTCTGGTCCCAGTTGCTCTACTTCCAATTCAGCTCTCTGCTATGGCCTCGGAAAAGAAGTAGAAGATGGCCTAAGTCCTGGGGACCCTGCACCTGGTTAGAGACCCAGAAGCTCCTAGCTCCTAGCTCCTAGCTCCAGACTGGTGTAGCTCCAGCCACTGCAGTCATCTGGGCAGCGAGCCAGAGGATGGAAGGTCTTTCTCTCTGTCTCTCTCCCTCTCTCTAACTCCGCCTCTCAAATAATTAAATAAATCTTTTTTTTTTTTTAAAGCATATTCTCTCCCCTGAAATGAATAAACTTCTTTCCAAAAATACAAAAGGGAAGTTTTCCTAATGTTTAAAATATGAGATTTTGGGACAAGCATTATAGCACAGCGGGTTAAGCCACCACTTGGGACACTGGCATTCCATTTTGGACTGCCCATTTCAGCCCCAGCTGCTCTGCTTCTGATCCAGCTTCCTGCTAATATGCCTAGAAATGTGGGAGTGAACTGTGGACAAAAACTTTTCTGTCACTTTGCCTTTCAAATAAATAAAACTTTAAAAAAGTGAAAAAAATAAAATATGAAGTCCTGGGACAGGCATTGGGACATAACAGGGTAAGCCGCTGATTGAGATGGCCACATCCCTTATCAAAGTGCCTGGGACGGGGTCTCATCTCCAGTTCCAATTCAGCTTCCTGCTACTGTGCATCCTGGGAGGCACCAGATGATGGTCCAAGTACTTCAGTGCCTACCACCCATGTTGGCGACCCAGACGGAGCTCCTGGCTCCTGGTGTCAGCCTAGGCTAGCTGGGCTTGGCCATCTGGGGAGTGAACCAGCAAATGGAAGACCTCTCTTTTTCTCCCTGTCACTCTGCCTTTCAAATAAAATAAATAAAACTTTTTTTTAAATGAGGCCCTTTCTGTTTTGTTAATACATTCTTAATTAGTAAAGGTGCTTCCCCCATCTATAAGTAAACAAGTAATATTTTTTCTTTTTAATAAAAGAATCCACCCTATAGCTTTTTCAAGAACTTTTGGTCACTGAACAATATAGATAGTTTGTAACAGTTTCTCTGAGTATCTTCTGGGAAAAGTTTCTATTTTCTTTCAGAAGCATGAAAATCCAAATGCAAACAGAATACTGAGTAGAAATTCTTGCAGTGGGAAATAAAAAATAGGAAGCAAAAGCATTCTATAGTAACAAAAATCTTTCAATTTTACTTTGAGTGAAAGCTGACCTCCTTGATGACAGAAAGAGGCAGATATACAAATCATCTTTTCTTTACAATGCTGCAGATAAATTACCTTTGTCTGAAAATTCAGAACACATACCCATTTCCAAAAGTCTAAAATAGGCCCCACTCACATCTCTATTAGCTGGCTCTCAGTTTTTTTACTCAATTATTTTAATGAACTAAAGCACAACTCCACGAACAGGTCTATCAGTATTAATAAACTCTATAATTTATAAAAATACAAGTAATCAAATTTCATGTAGCAATCTTTTTTTTTTTTTTTTTGACAGGCAGAGTTAGACAGTGAGAGAGAGACAGAGAGAAAGGTCTTCCTTCCGTTGGTTCACCCCACAAATGGCCACTACGGCCGGTGTGCTGCGCAGATCCAAAGCCAGGAGCCAGGTGCTTCCTCCTGGTTTCCCATGTGGGTGCAGGGCCCAAGGACTTGGGCCATCCTCCACTGCACTCCCGGGCCAGCAGAGAGCTGGACTGGAAGAGGAGTAACCGGGACAGAATCTGGCGCCCCAACCAGAACTAGAACCCGGGTGCCAGCGCCACAGGTAGAGGATTAGCCTAGTGAGCCGCGGCACCAGCCTCATGTAGCAATCTATAAACAGCAAAAGAGACAAACATATGGAGCACGCTTTACTTCTTAAGTAAAAGTTGTATAAGAACAGCCTAGGGGCTGGTGCTGCGGCATAGTAGGTAAAGCCTCTGCCTGCAGTGCCAGTATCCCATTTGGATGCCATTCAAGTCCCGGCTACTCCACTTCTGGTCCAGCTCTCTGCTAATGGCCTGGGAAAGCACTGGCAAGTGGCCCAAGTGCTTGGGCCCCTGTACCCACACAGGAGACATGGAAGAAGCTCCTGGCTTCCAGTTTCAGATCAGCCCAGCTCTGGCTGCTGTGGCCATTGGGGGAGTGAACCAGCGAATCAAAGACCTCTCTCTCCCTCACTCTGTCTGTAACTCTGCATCTCAAATAAATAAATAGATCTTTAATTAGAAAAAAAAAAAGCCTACTACCCACTAAATGGGGCTACTAGGTGTGATATGAGCAGTGAGATTAGTGGCTAAGGAATCCCAGGAGTGATGGCTGCTAACTGCTGTCCTGGGTTGCGAAAACATTAAACAAAAAGAAAATCAACCCTCTGAACAATGGACACATAGTACAAGATACAAAATAAATGCAATGACCAGGTCTCGTGACTATATAAAACAATACTTGGGGCCGGCGCCGCGGCTCACTAGGCTAATCCTCCACCTTGCGGCGCCGGCACACCGGATTCTAGTCCCGGTCGGGGCACCGGATTCTGTCCCGGTTGCCCCTCTTCCAGGCCAGCTCTCTGCTGTGGCCAGGGAGTGCAGTGGAGGATGGCCCAAGTACTTGGGCCCTGCACCCCACGGGAGACCAGGATAAGTACCTGGCTCCTGCCATCGGATCAGCGCGGTGCGCCGGCCACAGCACACCGGCTGCGGTGGCCATTGGAGGGTGAACCAACGGCAAAGGAAGACCTTTCTCTCTGTCTCTCTCTCACTGTCCACTTTGCCTGTCAAAAAAAAAATACTTGGAAACCATTTGAAATTTACTTTCCACTAGATCCATATTTAATAATACCTTTGGATGATAGGAAATGAAATATTTAGTGTATAGCAGAGAACAATGGAAAAATAAAATAGCTGAGCTACCAAAAATCATTTAACTCTTCATGTTAACAAAGCATATATAGTCCACAATATTAAAAATCACTAAGCTCTATGTTTCATTTTTCTTCTATTTTTAATCATGAACACTGACATTTTGGGTTGATGAAGAAAGCCAACAACGTGGGGCCAGCTTTGTGGTGGGTAGACTGAGCTGCCCACTGCTACATCAGCATCCCATATGGGAGTCTAATGTGCCTGGGAAAGCAGTGGAGGACGACCCAAGTCCTTGGATCTCTGTACCCACAGAGGAGACCCAGATGAAGCTCCTGGTTCCTGGCTTCAGCGTAGGCTGTGGTGGCCATTTGAAGAATGAACCAGTGGATGAAAGATCTCTCCTGTCTCTCCTTTCTCTGTAACTCTGCCTTTCAAATCAACATAGGAAGGAAGGAAGGAAGGAAGGAAGGAAGGAAGGAAGGAAGGAAGGAAGGCCGGCCAAAGACTTGAAGAATATGACATCACATTCCTGTTGATGATGCAATTCCATATTACATTAAATGTACAATAGATTAATTTGAGGAAACTGACAGTTCTTGGGGCCAGCGCTGTGGTGCAACAGGTAGAGCTGTTGCCTGCAGTACCTGAATCCCATATGGGTGCCGGTTCCAGTCCTGGCTGCTCCACTTCTGATCCAACCCTCTGCTATGGCCTGGGAAAGCAGTAAAAGATGGCCCAAGCCACTGGGACCCTGCACCCGCATGGGAGACCCAGAAGTTCCAGGTTCCTGGCTTTGGCTCTGCCCAGCCCTGGCTATTCTGGCCACTTGGGGAGTGAACCAGCAAATGGAAGGTCTCTCTCTTTCTCTCTGCCTCTGCTTCTCTGTAACTCTGCCTTTCAAATAAATAAATAAATAAATAAATCTTAAAGAAAAAAAATAAAGAAAGAAAGAAAGAAACCAACAGTTCTTAACAAATTAGCTCATGGAAATTTAAAAATAAAATCCCATTCTTTATAAATTATAACAAGCTATTTATGATCATGAAGTGTTGCTTAGTTCCTCATTACTAAGCTGACACTAAAATATGCCTGCTCCCATGGCCTACACACTTTTCCTCATCTTGTTCACTCTGTCAGCTTTCATTTCCCCTTCAAGAGAAAATACAGGTTCTGGAGCTGGCACTGTGGCACAGCCACAGTGAAGCCACATGAAGCACCACCATCCCATATGGGCTCTGGTTCGAGTCCTGGCTGCTCCACTTCTGATCCAGCTTCCTGCTTGTGTGCCTGGGAAAGCAGTAGAGGACAGCCCAAGTGCTGGGCCCCTGCACCCACGTGGGAGACCCAGAAGAAGCTCCTGTCTCTTGGCTTCAGTCTGACCCAGCTCCAGCCATTGCAGTCATCTGGGGAGTGAACCAGTGAATGGAAAATCTTTCATTTCACTTTCTCCACAATCTTCTCCTGAAACCCTCATCATTTGGCTAAGTTAAGAATCTCCATAAGTCCATGCTTATCTCCATCAGAATAGATAGGACAAAGGGTACTGGTCTCTTCTTGTTCTCTTCAACTAGACTATGAGCAAGTAACCTGAGCATGAGGGTATGTCCCATGTTCTCTGTAACCCCAGTGTCTAACAGCACCTCAAGTATAAAATACTGATTATACCTTCACAGAGTTTTTGTGTGGACTAAATGAAACAGCATTTATAAAGTCCTTACCCAATGTCTGGTACATGGCACGTGCTCAATTAATTTTGTGTATGTATGGACAGATAACAGTTACTAAGCAGATAAAGGTCAGACATAATTCTTAAATGACTAAACTTGACAAAATGAAACTTTTTCTTTATTTTATAGTATTAAGATATCTTAGCTCAGTTGCTACTAATTACTAATAAAACAATGAAAACACAGTAATTATTATTTTCTACTTTATTAGACTGCTACATTTATTATTTAGAACTTTAGAAAAGGAGAGGATTACATAATTCAAAAATTAACTATGACAAATAACATTTTCAACATTTTCTTAAGGAAAAAATGCTTAAATTTAAAGTATACTGTAGTTGGCATAATTTCAATTAATTATGAAAAATGTGTTTAGATAAAGTCTACTGATACACTTTCATCGATCTGGTGTAATTTTTTTTTTTTTTTTTTTTTTTTTTTTTTTTTTTTTTTTTGACAGGCAGAGTGGACAGTGAGAGAGAGAGACAGAGAGAGAAAGGTCTTCCTTTGCCGCTGGTTCACCCTCCAATGGCCGCCGCTGCAGCCGGCGCACCGCGCTGATCCTGGCAGGAGCCAGGAGCCAGGTGCTTTTCCTGGTCTCCCATGGGGTGCAGGGCCCAAGCACCTGGGCCATCCTCCACTGCACTCCCTGGCCATAGCAGAGAGCTGGCCTGGAAGAGGGGCAACCGGGACAGAATCCGGCGCCCCGACCGGGACTAGAACCCGGTGTGCCGGCGCCGCAAGGTGGAGGATTAGCCTATTGAGCCACGGCGCCGGCTCAATCTGGTGTAATTTTTAAAAATTGAAATACTAGCAATAAACATGAAAAGACTTTTCCAAGTATTTAAAACAATAATCCAAAATACAGAACAATAACAAAGACTAAAAAATATCAACTTTAAGGAAGAGCCCCAATGTGAGAAATTCTCTTTACCTATAGGTAATCGGTTCTTTTTATTGGCTGGAGTGGTTGCTGGAGACAGCTGAGGAGTATTGTAGGGCGTCATTTCTAAACTGCTGCTTTTTCCTGGTTTGGCCTGGGGTAGGTTTGCCAATAAATTGTCAAGAGCCATTCTATCTTCTCTCAGTTGATCTCCAGACATCACACTCTTCATAAAATTCACCTGGCAAAAGTAAAATCAATTTTTACTTTAGCTTCTAAAATCAATTTTTCAAATACAATATATATTTCTTACACAATATACTCATCTGTGACTGCTCACGCTTAGCTAAATGACTTATGAGCAAATTCTATCAACGAAGAAGCCTTTACCAGAGTAACAAGTTGACTGTGGGTTATATAAACCACAGTTCTGCTTAACCCTTCCAGAGGATTAACGGCGGACATCGGAGGGGTCTCCACTGCACGGCCCCCAATCACAACATCAAGGAAAGCAGCAACACAGCTCTGTCAAAACAGGAAATGACCACAGTGAAATATCACCCTTGAAAATCCTGGAATAAAGTTTTTAAGGTGGATAAAAAAACACAAAAGTATTAACTTCTTGAGAATTACTCTAAGCCCAACATTTAAAAAAAAAAAAGTAAACTCTTATATATTGTCATAGAATAATCTGCAAGACATACTGGTAAACAAAACAAACAACACAGAACAGTATATACACTAGGCTTCCCTTTGTGAAAGGGGAGGAATGGAGCCGGGTGGGAGAATATATGTAGAACTTTGCTTGTACACATGTGACCTCTAGAATGATACACAGAAAACTGATAATTTCAAGACCCTTTCAGGGAGGAAAGAAAGACTAGAGGTGAGAATTGAAATTTCACTGTATCATCTTTTCATTTTTAGCCAAGTTCGAGGGCCAGCACTGTGGCGCCAGCAGCCCATATGGGAGCCAGTCAAGTCCTGGATGCTCCACTTCTGATCCAGCTCTCTGCTAATGGCCTGAAAAAGCAGTGAGAGATGGCCCAACTACTTGGGCCCTTGCACCGATGTGGGAGACCCAGAAGAAGCTCCTTGTTCCTGGTTTTAGACTCCAGCATTGTAGCCATCTGGGAATGAATCAGAGAATGGAAGACCTCTCTCTCTCTGTCTCTGACTCTCCCTCTGTCTGTAACTCTGTCTCTCAAATAAATTAATTAATTTAAAAAAAAAAAAAAAAAAAACAGCCGGCGCTGCAGCTCAATAGGCTAATCCTCCGCCTGCAGTGCCGGCACGCCAGGTTCTAGTCCTGGTCAGGGTGCCGGATTCTGTCCCGGTTGCTCCTCTTCCTGTCCAGCTCTCTGCTGTGGCCAGGGAGTGCAGTGGAGGATGGCCCAAGTCCTTGGGCCCTGCACCCGCATGGGAAACCAGGAGAAGCACCTGGCTCCTGCCATCGGATCAGCGCGCTGCGCCAGCTGCAGCGCACCGGCCACAGCGGCCATTGGAGGGTGAACCAACGGAAAAAGGAAGACCTTTCTGTCTCTCTCTCACTGTCCACTCTGTCAAAAAATAAATTAAAAAAATAAATAAACACATAAAAACACTCTCAAAAAAAAAGCCAAATTTAATATACATCCTACTCAATATATGATTAAATTTTTCTTTAACTGAACAATGCCATAAATATTCATTTATGAAATATACTTAAAATTATACAATTATTCTTGCTTCATTACATCCACAAATTTTTAAAAAACAAACTTTTTAAAACAAAAGAATCTTAGCAGATCTTTGATGCTTACTACAATGCTACCTGCTCAATAGTCTACTAAAGGCCGGCGCCGCAGCTCACTAGGCTAATCCTCCACCTTGCGGTGCCGGCACTCCAGGTTCTAGACCCGGTTGGGGCGCCGGATTCTTTCCTGGTTGCCCCTCTTCCAGGCCAGCTCTCTGCTGTGGCCAGGGAGTGCAGTGGAGGATGGCCCAAGTGCTTGGGCCCTGCACCCCATGGGAGACCAGGATAAGTACCTGGCTCCCGCCATCGGATCAGCGCGGTGCACCAGCCACAGCGCACCGGCCCCAGCAGCCACTGGAGGGTGAACCAACGGCAAAGGAAGACCTTTCTCTCTGTCTCTGTCTCTCTCTCTCTCACTGTCCACTCTGCCTGTCAAAAAAAAAAAAAAAAAAAAAAAAAGTCTACTGAAGAATTTGTGATTTTCAATGACATCTTTCATCAAAATCTAATCCAAAACTGTAGTTAATTATAAGGAACATTAGTTTATAAACAACTAAGCAAATTCAACTAAGAATCTGGCAGAATTTTCTGTAAGCAATGTCCACAAAACATAGGGTTCAATCTTACTTTGTCAAATTTTCCAAGGCTGCTCTTTGTCCGGGGGTCTCCCTCTTCTGAGCCGGTCATTGCTAACTGCTGCAGAAGGCGGCCAACCTGCAATCCAAAGCAACAGTAGGGGATAGCAGCTAGAGACACCCATAAATTCTTCTCTACAAAAGCACTTCTGTACTAGTCTAAAAACCTGGTTCATAAAAATATGTTCACCACCTGCCTGGGCATACAAAACAAGGTCCTCAGTAAAATGGGTATTTTATCTATGCCAGTTTTTACTATTTTTAGATTAAGAGTTATAGAAAGATTTAAAAGTTATAGATTATATAGTTATATAGATTAAGAGTTATAGAAAAATTTGCTTTCACTTCTAAGATATCAACACTAAGTAAGTGTGCTAGTATCACATTATTCATGTGCTAGAAATTTTTAAACTGATTTATAAAAGGTGACTCACTTATTAAATTACTTCAATATTAAGTACTTTTCCTGGGGCAGGCATTCTGTACAGTGGTTAAGACGCGGCACATGGGACAAGCATTGAGGCACAGTGCATTAAGTATGGCGCCAGCATCCCCTGTCAGGATCCCAGCTGCTCTGTCTCTGATCCAGTCCTGCTAATGTGCCTGGAAAGGCATCCACGTGGAAGACCCAGATAAGAGTTCTTGGCTCTGGCCTGGCCCAGACCTGGCTGTTAAAGCCCTTTGGAGTGAATGGAGATCCCTCTCTCTCTCTCTGCCTCTCTTTTTCTATCACTCTGCCTTTCAACTAAAGCAAAATAGATCTTAAAAAAAAAAAAAAAAAATGCCACCTGATCACAAATCAGAATGCCTAGGTTTGACTCCCAGCTTTCCATCCAATTCCAATTCCAGCCTCCCACTAACGTGTACCCTGGAAGGGAGATGACAGCTCGAGTTCTTGGGTCCTTGTCACCTATGGAAGGCTGAGTTCCCCACTCCTGATTTCAGCATAGCCCAGACCCGACTATTGCAGACATTTGGGGAGCAAAACAGAGGATGCAAAATCTCTGTCTATATTTCTCTCTGCACTTCAAGTAACAATGAAAAGTTTTTGTTAGCCGGCGCCGTGGCTCAATAGGCTAATCCTCCACCTTGCGGCGCCGGCACACCAGGTTCTAGTCCCGGTTGGGGCGCCGGATTCTGTCCCGGTTGCCCCTCTTCCAGGCCAGCTCTCTGCTATGGCCAGGGAGTGCAGTGGAGGATGGCCCAGGTGCTTGGGCCCTGCACCCCATGGGAGACCAGGAAAAGCACCTGGCTCCTGGCTCCTGCCATCGGATCAGCGCGGTGCGCCGGCTGCAGCGGCGGCCATTGGAGGGTGAACCAACGGCAAAAGGAAGACCTTTCTCTCTCTGTCTGTCTCTCTCACTGTCCACTCTGCCTGTCAAAAAAAATAAAAAAAAAAAAAAGTTTTTGTTGTTGTTATTTAAAGTACTTTTCCCTTTAGAATTCACAAAGCACTTGAGGTAGCATTCTTTCTGAAGGGCTAGCATTGTGGCAAAGAAGGTAAACTTCTGCCTGCAGTGCCAGCATCCCATATAGGCACCAGCTCAAGACCCAGCTGCTCCACTTCCAATCCAACTCCCTGCTAGTACTCCTAGGAAAGCAGCTAAAGATTGCCCAAGTATTTGGGCCCCTGCACCTGCATGGGAGACCCAAAATAAGCTCCTGGCTTTGGTGTGACCCAGCTCTGGCAGACATCTGGGGAGTGAACCAACAGACAGAAGCACTCTCTCATTCTCTATCTCTCTGCTCTCTTTTATCTCTGCCTTTCAACCAATAAGTAAATCTTTTAAAAGAAAATAAAAAGATTTTTCTCCCTAGATTTAAAAGCAAACAATTTGGGGCCGCCGCCTACAGTGCTGGCATCCCATATGGGCGCCCGTTTGATGAGTCCTAGCTGCTCCACTTCCAATCCAGCTCTCTGCTACAGCCTGGGAAAGCAGAAGATGGCCCAAGTCCTTGGGCCCCTGCACGAGGGACACCCAGAAGAAGCTCCTGGCTCCTGGCTTCAGATCAGCCCAGCCCCAGCCATTGAGGCAATCTGGGGAGTAAACTATCAGATGAAAGACTTCTCTCTCTGCCTCGGCCTCTGCCTCTGTGTAACTCTGCCTTTCAGATAAATAATCTTTAAAAAACAAAAAACCTACAATTCCTATAGAATATCAGCTATGAGTAGATACTAACTCACAGAACAAGTTTTTTACTGCCAAAAGTGAAGTGTGAATCCACTATGACTGAAGGCTCCAGGCTTCATTATTGTTAGCATCATTATGTTAGCATCAAGGACAACCCTCCTTTTTACTCATTTTGAAAATATGTGATTCAATCTCTAACAGAATAACAAAAATAAAACTACAAATGCATCATGTCATAAGAATAATATTTCACAGATGATTAAAAAAACTAAAAATTTTATTTCAAGGATTTCCTTTTTTTTTGACAGGCAGAGTTAGACAGTGAGAGAGAGAGACAGAGAGAAAGGTCTTCCTTCCATTGGTTCACTCCCCAAATGGCCGCTACAGCCGGCGCGCTGTGCCAATCTGAGCCAGGAGCCAGGTGCTTCCTCCTGGTCTTCCATGTGGGTGCAGGGCCCAAGGACTTGGGCCATCCTCCACTGCCTTCCGGGACACAGCAGAGAGCTGGACTGGAAGAGGAGCAACTGGGACAGAATCCGACGCCCCAACCGGGACTAGAACCCCGGGGTGCCGGCACCGCAGGCAGAGGACTAGCCAAGTGAGCTGCGGCGCCAGCCTCAAGGATTTCTATATAGTGAATTACTAAACACCCCAATGTGATAAAGAAAAAGCAAAAAAAAAAAAAAAAAAAAAACACCTGAATAATAATGAAAAAAAGCTTATCTCTGAAGTCATCCAGAAGTAATATATTCTGAAAAACCTAACTGCTTCATCTAAGATTTTATTCTGGGAGATAAGATGAAGAGATTCTGCAAACTAATAATAAAACGAGGGGCCGTCGCTGTGGGGAAGTAGGTTAAGCCTCCACCTGCAGTGCCGACATTCCATATGGGCACTGGCTCTAGTCCCGGCTGCTCCTCCTTCAATTCAGCTCTCTGCTGATGGCCTGGGAAAGCAGTAGATGATGGCCCAAGTGTTTGGGCCTCTGCACCCACGTGGGAGACCTGGAAGAAGCTCCTGGCTCCTGGCTTTAGCCTGGCCTACCTCCGGCCATTGCAGCCATCTGGGGAGTGAACCAGCAAACGGAAAACCTTTCGGTCTCTCCCTCTCTCTGTAACTTTGCCTCTCAAATAAATAATTAAATAAACACTAAAATGACTTCAGATGATTACAAAAAACATGTAAAAATCCTCTTTATGAAACTCTTAGGTCTAGAAGAGTTTCACACTTTAGAACTCAAAGATTTTAGAAATGTAATTTAGTGCATTATCTAAGACAACATATACAGCACATAAGGTAGCCTCCCTTTGCAAAAAAAAAAAACAAACAAACAAACAAACAAACAAAAAAAAACTTTAGTCACAAAAACTACCTAACAACTAGAAATAACCTCATGTTAGTTCAGCTTAGGTTTTGCTACAAACTGAAATATAAATGTCATTCTCAGTTTTTCATTCTGCATTCTGAAATTATAGAAGAGGGATGGTGGACTTGTAGAAAATTTAATCAACTAGACATTCAAGTGTGTGAAAATTCCATTTAAAAACTAACACAAAATGTTTTAGGACTACATTTAAATTTTTCAATATGATTGCTTTTAAGTCCAAAGAAGCAACAGTCTGAAGAAAAGGAATGGTAAAAATACTCATGTGAGTACTGTCGTCGTATTTTCTGTTCCCATCCCCTAATGCCCAATCACTACGAATAGCAAAAGCATACCTGCATCAGGTTAAACCGTGCCACCTCATTAATTGGAGCATCAGAAATTATCCCATACTGTTCAGGGTTGACAACTGCAGGACAAATGAAGCAGGCCAACAAGAGATCAGTACACATTGCCCTGACCTCCCCAACTTCCAGTCTATCTACACAGGAAAGGGTTTTGTACATCTGTGACACGATCCACCTCAAACTGTGGGGAAAGCAGTATGTGTTCTGTTTGAGATAACCAATAAATTTGTTCACCAAAGCTACCAGTTTGGCCTCATTAGACTCCACCATCTCTTGAACCTTCTGCCTGTATCTATCTGAGCCTTTCTCCCCAAAGAGTTTCTCCTGTTGAGATGGGGAGAACCTCTCAATTAACTTGTTTGGATCAGTTTCCAAATGATCTTCATCTTCAACAAGCAGTTGCATGATTGGCTCATGTAAAGTAGCTGTGAGAAAAAGTTTGGCAGAAAAGAGTCCTTCAGAAAAAAGTTTAAATAAGATGCTGAAGGCACAAGTTCCTCTCCTCAAAAGGCGTCTGGGGTTGTCACTTTCTTTAAGTTCAAATTCAATCAAGTATCGCAAAACCTGAAGGAGGTAGCTTTCATCTTCTTGCATAATGCAGTTGCCATATAGGGAGGTAAAAACGGTGTAAATAACACTTTGTGTGTTCTCCTGATTAAGCTTCTCTCCAGCAACCAAAGAGGAGGCAATAAGACGAGGATTTTCCCTTAATCGACTCAAGAACTCTCCATAAGCAGTTTCCTGAAAACCCAACTGTTTATATCCATCAACAAACTGTGTATCCTCCAAAATCTTGGCATGTTGGCAACATTCAGCAGGGGAAGCTTCAGCACTGCAGAAAATGAGACAAGAAATAGTAATATTAATAACATGACACATAAACTATATATGAAACATGGAAATGTGTGTGAATTATAGGTCCAGCAAAGAGATCACTCTGAATTGCTAAAATCTTTTAGATCAACAGCATCTGAATGAATAGAGAAAGACAAAACTAAGAAGTACAAAGGAGTGAGGCTGGTGTTGTGGCAGAGCAGATTAAGCTATCACTTGGAATGATGGCATCCCATATCAGGGCGTTGGTTCGAGTCCTGGCTACTCTGCTTTCAATCCAGCATCCTGCTAATGTGTCTGGGAAGGCAGTGGAAAATAACCTAAACTTGGGACCCTGCCACCCATGTAAGGAGAACAGGATGGAGTTCCTGGCTCCAGGCTTCAGTCTGGCTCAAACCTGGCTACTTGAGAGTGAACCAGCAGACAGAAGCTCGCGCTCTCTCTCTCACCTACTTTCTCTGTCACTCTTGGAAATAAATAAATCTTTAAAAAAAAAAAAAAAATCTGGGGGCCAGCGCCATGGCTCACTTGGTTAATCCTCTGCCTGCGGCGCCAGCATCCCATATGGGTGCTGGATTCTGTCCTGGTTGCTCCTCTTCCAGTCCAGCTCTCTGCTGTGGCCCAGGAGGGCAGTGGAGGATGGCCCAAGTGCTTGGGCTCCTGCATCCCCATGGGAGACCAGGAAGAAGCACCCAGCTCCTGGCTTCGGATCGGCGTAGCTCTGGCCATAGCGGCCATTTGAGGGGTGAACCAACGGAAGGAAGACCTTTCTCTCTGTCTCTCTCTCTCACTGTCTAACTCTATCTGTCAAATAAATAAAATCTAATTGGTATGGTAAAAATATTAATGGTTAAATTACAAATTTCTATAGTAGTACTTAAGTTAATAAATAAAATAGGTCTCAGTGTTGTGGCATAGCTGGTAAACCCACCACTTGCGACACCAGCATTCCATATGGGAACCAGTTCATGTCCCAGCTGCTCCACTTTCTATCCATCTCCCTGCCAGTGGCCTGGGAAAAGCAGTGGAAGATGGCCCAAGTGTTTGGACCCCTGAGGCCACATGGGAAACTCAAATGAAGTTCCTGGCTCCCAGCTTGGGCCAGGCCCAGTCCTGGCTGTTGCAGCCTTCTAGGAGTGAACCACCGGATGGAAGATCCTTCTCTCACTGCGTCTTCCCCTCTCTCTGTAATTCTTTCAAATAAATAAATCTTTAAAAAATAAACTCTAAATACAGTATAAGCAAAGATTCAATTTTAGTAATTTAAGCCATCTAACCCATTATGTACCATTGTCCTATACACAGGACACCTATGAAGACTTAAAATGAGCAATAAATAAACCACTTATAGTAACTCTGCAATAAATATGTCATTGAAACATTCACAGAGTTGAAAACTTGAAACTTACTGAGTTAAGCTATGCACTTTATTTGAGATAGATTCATTCATAGCAATTCACAAAAGACTTGAAAATCTTTACCTGTGAAATAAAGCTTTGAGTTTGAGAAATAAAGGTTAAAAAAAAAGAAAATCTTTACCTAGTTATGATAAGCCGATCCAAATTAATTCTCTGTTGCTTTGCAATCCATGCTGTGCGATACAACTTCTCTGCCGTTTTAAGAACATCCGCATTGAGTCTCTGAATGAGCTGTTTCTCAGAGTTTACATATAAGCGCTCCTGCTTGAGGTGATGGGCCAGAGTATGAATATCTAGCTTCACCATCTTCAAATGTGGAAAGGTACAAAGGCTAATCACTACAAATAAAAGGACAAATTTTAAGAGGTTATATAATTTAAATTCTTTTCAAAAATCAGAATGGGTGAGAGAACACATGAAGAATTAATATAGTATCACTGCTAGCTCTAATTTTAAAATAATCTATGTACTTTGTATTACAGAAGCATAACCCATTCCATCTAGAAAAACTGGTAAATGCAGATAAGCAAAAAGAAAAAAAAAAGTTCCCAATAAGGCCACTGATGGGAGTTAGCCACTGTAAACACTGTAAGTTGAGTGTCTATTTATTAACCCTGGAGTTACCCTTGACTATGCCCATGCTCACTCACCACACAGACAATATATCCTGTTGATTCTATCTTCAAAATATATCTCAAATCTGACTACTTCTGCCCCCTCCATCACTAGCCCACCACAATCTCTTATCTGGAGGCCTGTGTAATTACCACTGCCCAACTGATGTCCCTGCTTTCTTTCTTGTATTCTAAAGTCTGTTCCTCTACATGCCATAGAATAAACCTTTAAACTTAAATTAGGGGGCTGGGGCTGTGGCACAGTGGGTAAAGTCGCCACCTGCAGTACCCGTATCCCATATGGGTGCTGGTTCAAGTCCTGGTGCTCCTCTTTTGATCCAGCTCTCTGCTATGTCCCGGGAAAGTAGTAGATGGAGCAAGTCCTTAGGCCCCTGCATCCACATGGAAGACCTAGAAGAAGCTCCTGGCTCCTGGCTTCAAATCAGCACTGCTCTGGCCATTGCGGCCAACTGGGGAGCATACCAGCAGATGGAAGACCTCTCTCTCTCTCTCTCTGCCTCTCCTTCTCTCTGTGTGTAATTCTTTCAAATAAATAAATAAATCTTTAAAAAAAAAACTTAAATTAGGTGACTTTATTCTACTAGAAACTATCCAAAAGTTTTATTTTACACATAGGATGAAATGGGAAGTTTCTACAAGATCTACCCCAGCTACTTCTCCAACTTTATCTCCCACCATTCTACCGTGATTCTTGAAGTCCTGCCACAGCTGCCTCCTTGCTATCCCTTGAACAGGCCAAGCACAGCCCTCACCCATTCAGTCTCTGCAGTTGCTGATCTCCTAGCTGGAAGCCTATTCCTCCAGACAGCTGCAAAGCTTCATTCCATTCAGGTCACTCAGTTCAACTTTCTATTTAGAAAATTATTCTCTGGGGTCAGCACTGTGGCGTAGAGGGTAAAGCTGCCACCTGCAGTGCCGGCATCCCACCTGCTGGTTCAAGCCCCAGCTGCCCACTTCCAATCCAGCTCTCTGCTATGGCCTGGGAAAGCAGTAGAGCAGTAGAAGATGGTCAAGTCCTTGGGCCCCTGCACCCACATGGGAGACCCAAAAGAAACCCCTGGTTTCAGACAGGCACAGCTCTAGCCATTGCATTCATTTGGGGAGTGAACCTCTCTGTAGCTCTGCCTTTCAAATAAATAAATAAATAAGTAAATCTTTAAAAAAATATATCAAAATAACAAAAGGCCAGCGCTGCAGCTCACCAGGCTAATCCTCCCTCCGCCTGCAGCGCCAGTCCGGGGTTCTAGTCCCGGTAGGGGCACCAGATTCTATCCCAGTCACTCCTCTTCCAGTCCAGCTCTCTGCTGTGGCCCAGGAAGGCAGTGGAGGATGGCCCAAGTGCTTGGGCCCTGCACCCGCATGGGAGACCAGGAGAAGCACCTGGCTCCTGGCTTTGGATTGGCGCAGCGTGCCGGCCGTAGTGGCCATTTGGGTGGCGAACCAACGGAAGGAAGACCTTTCTCTCTGTCTCTCTAACTCTGCCTTCAAAAAATAAATAAATAAATAACAAAAAAAAATAACAACAACAACAAAAAAAGTGAAGCAGGGGCTGGCACTGTGGCGCAGTAGGTTAAAGCTGGCCTGCAGTGCTGGCATCCCATGTGGCTGCTCCACTTCCCATCCAGCTCTCTGCTGTGGCCTGGGAGAGCAGTGGAAGATGCCCAAGTGCTTGGGCCCTGCCCAAGGTGGGAGACCCAGAAGAAAGCTCCTAGCTCCTGGTTTCACATCAGCCCAGATCGGCCCAGCTCCAGCTGTTGTGGCCAACTGGGGAGTAACTCAGTAGATGAAGGCTCTCTGTCTCCTCTTCTCTCTGTAACTCTGCCTCTCAAATAAATGGAATAAAAAAAAAAAAAAAAAAAAAGTGGTGCAGCAAGGATTTGAACCAGTGCTCACAGGAAATGCTAGCTTTGGAAGTGGTGGCTTAACCCACTGCACAATGCTGGCCCCCGAAATTATCTTTTTTTTTTTTTTTACAGGCAGAGTGGACAGTGAGAGAGAGAGACAGAGAGAAAGGTCTTTCTTTTTGCCGTTGGTTCACCCTCCAATGGCCGCTGTGGCCGGCACACCGCACTGATCCGAAGCCAGGAGCCAGGTGCTTCTCCTGGTCTCCCATGGGGTGCAGGGCCCAAGCACTTGGGCCATCCCCCACTGCACTCCCTGGCCACAGCAGAGAGCTGGCCTGGAAGAGGGGCAACCGGGACAGAATCCGGCGCCCCGACCGGGACTAGAATCCGGTGTGCCGGTGCCGCTAGGCGGAGGATTAGCCTAGTGAGCCGCGGCGCCGGCCCCAAAATTATCTTTTAATTCCACTTTTGCAAGAACGTGTTAAAGTAAGCATGTTACAAGTATCTACTTGCATGTGAATCACGTTCTGGCAAAGGCCAATGCTTGTCTGTTCTGTTTACTCATAGCTACTATTTCAGGGTATAGGAGAGGGCCTGGTTCACAACCAGAGCTGAACGAGTATTTGCCAAAGGAATGAAAGAAATAACTCTATATAGAATATAGATTCAGAAAGTACATATATTTTAAAACATTTTTTAACTTGTACCCTCAAAACCTAGAATGCCTGCCAGACCACAATATTTTATATCAACAACAAAAACAGGTGTGACATAGATAATAGAACATAGTGCTGTGTGTCTTGATACAGATAGTCATTAAATTAGAAATAAGTTCTCATTAAGAATTAAAATTACTATAGCAGCCAGAAATATATTTAAAGCCACGTTTATTTAAAGAAATAGGCTTTTAGGCCGGCGCTGCGGCTCAATAGGCTAATCCTCTGCCTGTGGCGCTAGCACACCGGGTTCTAGTCCCAGTTGGGGCACCGGATTCTGTCCCGGTTGCTCCTCTTCCAGTCCAGCTCTCTGCTATGGCCAGGGAGTGCAGTGGAGGATGGCCCAAGTGCTTGGGCCCTGCACCCCATGGGAGACCAGGATAAGCACCTGGCTCCTGCCATCGAATCAGCACGGTGCACTGGCCACAGCACACCGGCCGCAACGGCCATTGGAGGGTAAACGAACAGCAAAGGAAGACCTTTCTGTCTCTCTCTCTCACTGTCTAACTCTGCCTGTCAATAAAAAAAAAAAAAAGAAAGAAAGAAAAAAGAAAAGAAATAGGCTTTTTAATTTAAATTTTTATGTCAAGTTTCTAAGTTTTTTTTAAATTTATGACTAGGAAATCTTCAGATATTACCATCTAACCTGAATTTACTTACTTTCAAAAAACACTTTCTTGCCATCAATAAAACTCCTCTTAAAAAAAAAAAAAACACACTTTCTTATACCTTACCAATTCCCCTGAACTGTGCAAAGCTGTTATTATTTTTTTTAAGATTTTATTTATTTATTTGAGAGGCAGAGTTAGAGAGAGAGAGGGAGAAAGTTCTTCCATCCACTGATTCACTCCCCAAATGGCCACAACAGCCAGAACTGAACCAGGCTGAAGCCAGGAGCTTCTTCCAGGTCTCCCACGCAGATGCAGGGGCCCAAGCACTTGGGCCATCTTCCACTGCTTTCCTAGGCTATTAGCAGAGAGCTGGATTGGAAGAGGAGCAGCTGGAACTCAAACTGGCACCCAAATGCAATGCAGCTGCCACGGACGGAGGCTTAGCCTACTACTTAGCCACAGTACCAGCCCCACAAAGCTATTATTTTAAATCTCCTGCAGTTGGGGCCCTAATATTGCTTTCCTCTGAAAAGCTAAAATGAAAATAAATAAAAAATTAAAAAGTAATCATTATATCTCCTTCACAAGTTGATTTTCCTCTGAATCAGCCACAAAAGGATCTGTGTACATTAAAAAAAAAAAACTTGTATTCTTACTCACTACAGAAAAGGCAAATATTTTGTACACTTCCATGTGGGAATTCTGACATCCACTAGGGGGCTCTAAGTCCATAGGCTAAGAATAGAATCCTTATCCTGATGGATTTAATTGTGAGAAGTATTATTGTTATGAGAAGTATTATCATTAATGAAGACAGTATTGAAATGGTTGTTAAAAACCCATATGCTTCATTAACTAATTGTTGTCCTGAGCCTATAATGCATTTTCTCTGAGCCTCTTGGGTTTTTTTAATCCATAAAATATGAACAAAATATTTGCATTATTTTGTGCCTGACAGAATCAACTTGTTAGGCGCCAAGAATATAAAAAAGGACAGAACTTAGTATGTGCCCTCATGAACTTTCTAATCTAATAGAATTAGGCAGGCACGTAAGCAAAGGGCTACCCAAAAATATTATGGGTATCATACTAAAAGTGTGCACAATGTAATGTAGGGAGAAAAAGGGAATGATTGAGGAGGGAGAATCCTGAACCTACTTGAGAAAAGGAGGGGAAGGGGAGTTAGGGTGGAGAATTGGCCAGAAATAAAGATGATAGGTGTGGGTTACAATTCTGGACAGAGAGAGCCAACTAAGCAAAGGCTCACGTACGACACAAAGCATGTTTAGAGGTCTACGTGCAGCTTGCTACGATCTGTGTATGCATTAAGAGTGAAGAGTGAGGACTAGGGAGAGGGGAGAAAGTGTATCAGGGGACTTCAAAAAGTTCATGGAAAATGGAATTAATTAAAATACAAGTTTATTCTGGTGCAAAAATTTTTGAAATCTATGCATAGGATGCTGGTGTTGTGGCACAGTGGGCTAAACCGCTGCCTGCGATGCCAGCATCCCTTATGGGCACTGGTTCAAAAC